ATGTCTTCATGTTTCTTTTGTAGTGGAACATCTTTTACTGGACACATTTTGTCCGTTTCAAACTTTATAGTTCCTTCCTGTGGTGAATGCTCAGTAAAGAGTTCCTCCTTCGTGGATTTATCGAGTTCAATTTGTTCAATTTGTGCAGTTCCATCGTCAATTGGAAGTTCACTAGAGGGCCGACATTTGTCAGTCTCAGTATGATCAGGTTTTCTTTTCCTGAATCTTTGTCAACGGTTTTTTAAGTTTTTTCAGATCAACAGGAATTGGCACACATGTTTCATGATCATCTTTGTGCGCTGTATCGTCTTTAGCTTTTTTCGGTGGTGGAAACTCTTTGACCGCGAGCATTTTGTCGTTTGCAACATTTTTAGGTTCTTTCTGTGGTGGCACACTTTTTTCAGATAGCATTATGTCAGTTTGCATCCATAGTGGGTTGCTCTTTGTTGGATTCATCAGATATAATATGTTAATATGTTATGTTTTGTCATCAATTGGCAGTTCACTTACGGGAAACGTTTTGTCATTTTCAGTATCATTGGGTTCTCTTTTTAATGAATTTTTTCTCACGATTTGATCAAGTTTTTTAGTATCAACTGGGATTAGCAACACTTGTTGCAAGAGCCTCTTTATCTATTGCATCATATTTAGCTTTATCCTGTGGTGAAACGTCTTTTTTCGGAGTCATTTTGTCCATTGCAATGTCTTCATGTTTCTTTTGTGGTGGAACATCTTTTGCTGGAGACATTTTTGTCCGCTTCAACAGGTTATAGGTTCCTTTCTGTGGTGAATGCTCAGTAGAGGGTTGATCTTTTATGGATTTATCAAATTCAATTTGTTCAATTTTACGGTTCTATCGTCAATTAGAAGTTCACTTACGGGAGACTTCTGGTCAGTTTTCAGTATCATCAGGTTCTCTTTTAGTGAATCTTTTATAACGATTTGATCAAGTTTTTTAGTATCAACTGGGATTACCACACTTGTTGCAAGAGCCTCTTTAATCCGTTGCATCATATTTATCTTTTTTCTGTGGTGAAACATCTTTTTCCGGAGTCATTTTGTCCATTGGAATGTCTTCATGTTTCGTGTGTGGAACATCTTTTACTGGACACATTTTTGTCCGTTCAACATTTATAGTTCCTTCCTGTGGTGAATGCTCAGTAAAGAGTTCCTCCTTTGTGGATTTATCGAGTTCAATTTGTTCAATTTGTGCAGTTCGATCGTCAATGGGAAGTTCACTCAGGGGCGACATTTGGTCAGTCTCAGTATGATCAGGTTTCTTTTCTAGTGAATCTTTGTCAACGGTTTCATTAAGTTTTTCAGATCAACAGAATTGGCACACATGTTTCATGATCATCTTTATGCGCTGTATCATCTTTAGCTTTTTTCTGTGTAGAACATCTTTGACCGGAGTCATTTTGTCCTTTGCAACATCTTTAGGTTCTTTCTGTTGTGGCACACTTTTTTCAGATAGCATTATGTCAGTTGTATCCGTAGTGGGTTGCTCTTTTTTGGATTCATCAGATTCATATGTTTAATATGTACAGTTTTGTCATCAATTGGCGGCAGTTCACTTACCGGAGACATTTGATCAGTTTCAGAATCATCAGGTTCTCTTTTTAGTGAATCTTTTCTAACTATTTGATCAAGTTTTTTAGTATCAACTGGATTACCACACTTGTTGCAAGAGCCTCTTCATCCGTTGCATCATATTTAGCATTTTCCTGTGGTGAAACATCTTTTTCCGGAGTAATTTTGTCCATTGCAATGTCTTCATGTTTCTTTTGTGGTGAAACATCTTTTACTGGAGACATTTTGTCCGTTTCAACATTTATAGTTCCTTTTTGTGGTGAATGCTCAGTAAGGGTTGCTCCTTTGTGGATTTATCGAGTTCAATTTGTTCAATTTGTACGGTTCTATCGTCAATTGGAAGTTCACTTACGGAGACTTTTGGTCAGTTTCAGTATCATCAGGTTCTCTTTTTAGTGAATCTTTTATAACGATTTGATCAAGTTTTTTAGTATCAACTGGGATTACCACACTTGTTGCAAGAGCCTCTTTTTATCCGTTGCATTATATTTAGCATTTTCCTGTGGTGAAATATCTTTTTCCGGAGTAATTTTGTGCATTGCAATGTGTTCATGTTTCTTTTGTGGTGGAACATCTCTTACTGGAGATATTTGTCCGTTTCAACATATATAGTTCCTTCCTGTGGTAAATGCTCATAAAGAGTTCTTCCTTTGTGGATTTATCGAGTTCAATTTGTTCAGTTTGTGCAGTTCCATCGTCATTGGAAGTTCACTTAGGGGCGACATTTGGTCAGTCTCAGTATGATCAGGTTTTCTTTTCTAGTGAATCTTTGTCAACGGTTTCATTAAGTTTTTTCAGAATCAACAGGAATTGGCACATATGTTTCATGATCATCTTTTTGCGCTGTATCATCTTTAGCTTTTTTCGGTGGTAAAACATCTTTGACCGGAGCCATTTTGTCCTTTGCAACATCTTTAGGTTCTTTCTGTGGTGCACACTTTTTTCAGATAGCATATGTCAGTTGCGTCCGTAGTGGGTTGCTCTTTTTTGGATTCATCAGATTCAATATGTTTAATATGTACAGTTTTGTCATCAATTGGCAGTTCACTTACGGGAGACGTTTGGTCAGTTTCAGTATCATCAGGTTCTCTTTTTAGTGAATCTTTTCTAACTATTTGATCAAGTTTTTTAGTATCAACTGGGATTACCACACTTGTTGCAAGAGCCTCTTTATTCGTTGCATCATATTTAGCTTTTTCCTGTGGTGAAACATCTTTTTCCGGAGTCATTTTGCCCTTTTCAATGTCTTCATTTTCTTATGTGGTGGAACATCTTTTACTGGAGACATTTTGTCGGTTTCAACATTTATAGTTCCTTTCTGTGGTGAATGCTCAGAAAAGGGTTGCTCCTTTGTGGATTTATCAAGTTCAATTTGTTCAATTTGTGCATTTTGATCGTCAATTGGAAGTTCACTTAAAGGCGACATTTGGTCAGTCTCAGTATGATCAGGTTCTCTTTTAGTGAATCTTTTCTAACGATTTGATCAAGGTTTTCAGTATCAACTGGGATTAGCACACTTATTGCAAGAGCCTTTTTATCCGTTGCATTATATTTAGCATTTTCCTTTGGTGAAACATCTTTTTCCGGAGTCATTACGTTCAGTGCAATGTCTTCATGTTTTTTTTGTGGTGGAACATCTTTTACTTGAGACATTTTGTCCGTTTCAATATTTATAGTTCCCTTCTGTGGTGAATGCTCAGTAGACGGTTGCTCCTTTGTGGATTTATCAAGTTCAATTTGCTTAATTTGTACAGTTCCATCATCAATAGAGAGTTTACTTAGGGGGACATTCTGTCAGTCTCAGTATGATCAGGTTTCTTTCCTAGTGAATCTTTGTCAACGGTTTCATTAAGTTTTTCAGAATCAACGGGAATTGGAACACATGTTTCATGATCATCTTTGTGCGCTGTATCATCTTTAGCTTTTTTCGGTGGTAGAACATCTTTGACCGGAGCCATTTTGTCCTTTGCAACATCTTTAGGTTCTTTCTGTGGTGGCACACTTTTTTCAGATAGCATTATGTCAGTTGCATCCATAGTGGGTTGCTCTTTTTTGGATTCATCAGATATAATATGTTTAATATGTACAGTTTTGTCATCAATTGGCAGTTCACTTACGGGAGACGTTTGATCAGTTTCAGTATCATTGGGTTCTCTTTTTAGTGAATCTTTTTTCACGATTTGATCAAGTTTTTTAGTATCAACTGGGATTAGTACACTTGTTGCAAGAGCCTCTTTATCTGTTTGCATCATATTTAGCTTTATCCTGTGGAGAATCGTCTTTTTTCGGAGTCATTTTGTTCATTGCAATGTCTTCATGTTTCTTTTGTGGTGGAACATCTTTTACTGGAGACATTTTGTCCGCTTCAACATTTATAGTTCCTTTCTGTGGTGAATGCTCAGTAGAGGGTTGAACTTTTATGGATTTATCAAATTCAATTTGTTCAATTTGTACGGTTCTATCGTCAATTGGAAGTTCACTTACGGGAGACTTTTGGTCAGTTTCAGTATCATCAGGTTCTCTTTTTAGTGAATCTTTTATAACGATTTGATCAAGTTTTTTAGTATCAACTGGGATTACCACACTTGTTGCAAGAGCCCTCTTTATCCGTTGCATCATATTTAGCCTTTTCCTGTGGTGAAACATCTTTTTCCGGAGTCAGTTTGTTCATTGCAACGTCTTCATGTTTCTTTTGTGGTGGAACATCTTTTACTGGAGACATTTTGTCCGTTTCAACATTTATAGTTCCTTCCTGTGGTGAATGCTCAGTAAAGAGTTCCTCCTTTGTGGATTTATCGAGTTCAGTTTGTTCAATTTGTGCAGTTCTATCGTCAATTGAAAGTTCACTTAGGGGCGACATTTGGTCAGCCTCAGTATGATCAGGTTTTTTTTCTAGTGAATCTTTGTCAACGGTTTTATTAAGTTTTTCAGAATCAACAGGATTGGCACACATGTTTCATGATCATCTTTGTGCGCTGTATCATCTTTAGCTTTTTTCTGTGGTAGAACATCTCTGACCGAAATCATTTTGTCCTTTGCAACATATTTAGGTTCTTTCTGTGGTGGCACACTTTTTTCAGATAGCATTATGTCAGTTGCATCCGTAATGGGTTGCTCTTTTTTGGATTCATCAGATTTAATATGTTTAATATGTACAGTTTTGTCATCAATTGGCAGATCACTTACGGGAGACGTTTGGTCAGTTTCAGTATCATCAGGTTCTCTTTTTAGTGAATCTTTTCTAACGATTTGATCCAGTTTTTTGGTATCAACTGGAATTAGCACACTTGTTGCAAGAGCCTCTTTATCCGTTGCATCATATTTAGCATTTTCCTGTGGTGAAACATCTTTTTTCAAGTCATTTTGTCCATTGCAATGTCTTCATGTTTTTTTTTGTGGTGGAACATCTTTTACTGAAGACATTTTGTCCGTTTCAACATCCATAGTTCCTTTCTGTGCTGAATGCTCAGTAGAGGGTTGATCTTTTGTGGATTTATCAAATCCAATTTGTTCAATTTGTACGGTTCCATCGTCAATTGGGAGTTCACTTAGGGGCGACATTTGGTCAGTATCAGTATGATCAGGTTCTCTTTTTAGTGAATCTTTCCTAACGATTTGATCAAGTTTTTTAGTATCAACTAGGTTTAGCACACTTGTTGCAAGAGCATCTTCATACGGAGTAATTTTGTCCATTGCAACATCTTTATGTTCTTTTTGTGGTGGCACACTCTTTTCAGGTGGCATTATTCCAAATGCTTCCGTAGAGGGTTGCTCTTTTGTGGATTCATCAAATTTAATATGTTTAACATGTACAGTTTTGTCATTAATTGGCAGTTTATTTACGGGAGACGTTTGGTCAGTTTCAGTATCATCAGGTTCTTTTTCTAGTGAATCTTTTTCTACGATTTGATCAGGTTTTTTAGTATCAACTGGGATATGCACATTTGCTGCAAGATCCTCTTTATCCGTTCATCATATTTAGCTTCTTCCTTTGGTGAAACATCTTTTTCCGAAGCCATTTTGACCATTGCAATATTTTCATGTTTTGTCTGTGGTGGAATATCTTTTGCTGGAGCCCTTTTGTCCGTTTCAACATCTGTAGTTCCTTTGTGTGGTGAATGCTCAGTAGATGGTTGCTCTATTGTGGAATTGTCAAGTTCAATTTGTTTAATTTTCACAGTTTTATCATTAATTGGAAGTTCACTTACGGGAGACATATTGTATGTCTCAGTATGATCAGGTTTCTTTTCTATTGAATCTTTGTCAACGGTTTCGTTAAGTTTTTCAGAATCAACAGAGATTGGCGTACTTGTAACAAGATAATCTTTGTGCGTTGTATCATTTTTAGTTTTTTCCTGTGGTGGAACATTTACCGGAGCCATTTTGTCCGTTGCAACATCTTTATGTTCTTTCTCTGATGGCACACTCTTTTCAGGTAGCATTATGTCAAATGCATCCGTAGAGGCTTGCTCTTTGGTGGATTCATCAAATTTAATATGTTTAATATGTACAGTTTTGTCATCAATTGTCAGTTCACTTACGGGAGACGTTTGGTCAGTTTCAGTATCATCAGGTTCTCTTTTTAGTGAATCTTTTCGAACGATTTGATCAAGTTTTTTAGTATCAACTGGGATTAGCACACTTGTTGCAAGAGCATCTTTATCCGTTGCATCATATTTAGCTTTTTCAAGTGGCGAAACATCTTTTTCCGGAGTCATTTTGTCCTTTGCAATATCTTTATGTTTTTTCTGTGGTGGCTCATCTTTTACTTGGCCGACTTGTTCACTTTCAGTATTATCAGGTTGTCTTTCTTTTGAATCTTTTCCTACTGTTTGATCAAGTTTTAATTCAACATGGAATGGCACATTTGTTACAGAAGTCACTTTGTCTCTTGCAAGTTCTTCAAATTCTTTCTGTGGTGAGTGTTCGTTTGAGCATTGCTCAAGTGGTTCAGACAGTAAATTGTTTATATCTAATTTCTCAGAATCTGACGAAGCATCCTTATCTATTATAGAAGGCATTTTGTAAGTGTCAGCGCTTTCAGCTTCTTCTTCTTCTTCTTCAGCTAATAAATCATTATCGTCTTTCTCAGCTTTAATTTTGAATATAACATGCTTAACGATTGGGCTCTCTTTTGTGGATGCATCAACTTTAATATGTACTGTTTCGTCAACAATCAGCAGTTTCCTTACGGCAGACGGTTGATCAGTTTCAGTATCATCAGATTCCTTTTGTAGTGAATCCTTTTCAACGGTTTCATAAAGTTTTTCATAATCAACAGGGATTGTTGTACTTGTCACAAGAGCTACTTTGTCCGTTGCATCATCTCCAGCTTCTTTCTGTGGTGAAACATCTTTTTCCGGTGCCTTTTTGTCTTTTGTAACATCTTTATATCTTTCTGTGGTGAAATATTTTCCGGAGCCGTTTTGTCCGTTGCAACATCTTTAGGTTGCTTCTGTGGTGAAACAAATTTTTCTTGAGTCGTTATGTTAGTTGCATCATATTTTGCGTCTTTCTGTGTTGAATGTTCGATAGAAAATTTCTTTTTTATGGATTCATCAAGTTTAATATGAACAGTTTTGTCATATATTGGCAGTTCACTTACGGGAAACGTATGGTCAGTTTCTGTTTCATCAGGTTTCCTTGTTAGTGAACCTTTTACAACGGCGACATTAAGTTCTTGAGCGTCATCAGGGATTGTCACACTTGATATAAGAGCCACTTTGTCTGTTGCATCATCTTTAGCTTCTTTCACAGGGGCCGTTATGTCAGTTACATCATATTTTGTGTCTTCCTGTAGTGAATGTTCGGAAAAGGGTTGCTCTTCTGTGGATTCATCAAGTTCAGTATGTGCAGTTTCATCACTAATTGGCAGTTCACTTACAGGAGGCATTTGGTGAATGTCAGTACCATCAGATTGCCTTTCTTTTAAATCCTTTTCAACGTTTTGATTGAATTTTTTAGAGTCACTAGAGATTGACACACTTATTTCAAGATCCTCTTTGTTTGTTCCATCATCTTTAGCTTCTTTCTGTAATTCAGCATTATTTACTGGAGCCATTTTGATCGTGGCAACATCTTTATGTTCTTTCTGTGGTGGCACCCTTTTTACAGGTGGCATTATGTCAGTTGCGCCATCTTTAGCGTCTTTCTGTGGGGAAAGTTTGGTAGAGGGTTGCTCTAGATGGGGAAGTTTCTCAGACAATAAAGGCTTATCTGCTTTAGGAGCCATTTCATAAGCTACCTTACCGACAGTTTCTTTATGCGGGGTATCTTTTAATGGGGATTGCTCGTGACGTGGACGCTCCTTTGGTGATGAATCATTCATTAAGACGTGCTTATCGATTGCACTCTCTTTTGTTGATTCATTAAGTTTAATATGTTTAATGTGTACAATTTTGTCAGCAATTGGAAGCTTACTTACCGGAGCAGTTTGGTGAATTTCATTATTATCAGATTGCCTTTCTATTGAGTCTTTTTTAACGGTTGGATCAAGATTTTCAGTACCAACAGATACCGGCACAACTTGTATTTTTGCTATACGATATTTTATGTTCGATGAATCAACGTCATCAAATTTAATGCCTTTTTTAAATTCATTGAGTTCAATATCTTTATCATCTTTAGTTTTTGTCAGTGTGGATTCTCTTATATGGAGTCTCTCTACATCTGGATGATGTTTAAGCATCAAATCACTTTCAAGGGGCTTTTCTGCTTCTGTTGTTGATAAAATGTTTTCAGAATTTTTAATGAGTCTGGATTCATTAAGTTGAATATGTTGAGTAATACCTATAATGCGTAGTTTTCTAGTAGTGTTCATTTTATCAAATTCATCATCTTCAGATTCCATCTGCAAGGAATCTTTTGCAGATGGTTGCTCAGAATGCCATAGCCCCTTTGGCGATGAAGCATTTTCACCCGTATTATCAGTTTTTGTATTCAACACAATATCCTCGTTAGATGTATTATCTGTTTTGTATACGACAATTTTGTTGCGAGCAAATTCAGGTGGAACGGATTTGTGCACGTGTAATGGTGCGACAAGTTGAAGATCTTTACCATCAGCTGCAGTTTCCCTACTTTCTATAGAATAATCTTTCTGTTGAGACTTTTCTGCTAGTGATTGCTCCAGGTTTGCATTAGCAATTAAATTTGACATATTTTTCACAAGATCCATTTTGTCACTAACATCAGTTAGAGCTTCATTTTGCTCCAAGTTAGGAAGCGATGCATTAGTTTTAAATAAAATATCTTCTTCTATTTTCCGTAGAACGTTCTTGTCAAGCGATAAATCATTTTCGCCCAACTTATCAACTTCTGTATCTGATAACATATTCTTATTAATATTGAAATCTTTTCCAAATTCACATGTATTTTGTATCATTTCTGATAATTTTTCTTCTAAAGTTTTTGATGGTTTTATTTCATATTTAGATGCGAGTGGAACCGATTGACTAACTTCTAATGACATATTTATTGCAACTGGTTCAATATGCTCAGTATCATCTATAATTTGCTCTGGTGTTTGTTCGTGCATTGGAAACTTTAATTTGGAAAGTGTATGAAGAACTTTTGTTATTTTGCCATCGTCAAATACAATTGGTACGTTGTCCTTATTCAAAATATCATGTTCTTTAATCATCTGATCATTTTCATCTAATGGAGGGGCACTAGGAATTATTATATTTTTCTCACTTATTTCTAAAGATTTCAATAACCTTACATTATTTTCAAGCGATACGTCTTCTTGTCTATTATCAAAAATATCATGACCATCACTATTTATTGTCTCTCTTACATTATGACTACTATCCCTATCTTCCAGAAATTTAATTGACTCACCAAATTTTTGTGCTAAACTATAATTACCATGTACTTCTATTTCTTTATCAAAACTATCTAATTTATGTTCAATTTTTTTGCTAAAGGGGAGATTTTGCGTTATTGCTATTTCATCGCTGCTCTTAAAGCTATTATCAGAATTTGCAGTCATAATTTTCTGTTCGCTATATATAAAATTTGAAGGCACTTTATCTTCATCACTTTTACTGTTTGAAATTTTCTTCTCACTGTAAATATCATTTTCAAATCTATTTTTGGAAATAATCTTATCATCGATGCTATTTTCGTTTTTATTGCTCATTTCAAAGTCGAGTTCTGGAAGCAGTAAAGATGGTTCATCATTTTTTTCGAGATGTTCTACCATAATTTGTTCATTTTCTACAGTTTTTTCTTCTCTAGGTTTTTCAACTATTACCTTTTTTATGAGTACTTCAACAACAGGTTCTTGTTGTTCTTCAGCTTCATTGGCTAATGCATCAAACTTATTGATTATACTCTGCAGTAAAACTTCTTTTTCGGTTGGTGGTTGTATTATTTGAGACTCAATATCATATAGTGGTGAGTCCCTACTTTGTTTAGTTTCATCGGTTACGGACATGCGTTTATTTTCATTTTCAGCTTCTAGGAAATTTTTTATTTCAATATTGATCAAATTATCATTCTCTGATACATTTAATGGGGATGTGCATATACGTTTTTGTAATTCTGCAATCCTTGGACTCACATGTCTTGTATGCGTTGATATGTGTACAGATTTTGATGAACATCGCTCTTCAATATTTTCATTCTTTTTATTTGCAGATTCGCTATTAATAGGTATATAGGTTTCAGTTTTTTTTTCAACGCTTATTCCAGTAGGATGTGGTGCTTCAGAATCGATATCGCAGTCTTTCTTCGTTTTC